CCTACAGTGGGACTGCCCATGGAGCCATTACTGCCTTATATGTAGACTTTGTTGTTATACATGAAAATGAAGAATAATAAACAAGCTATACAAGTTCCACTATGCACTCATTGGTGGTTTTGGGCAGAATCAATATTGTATAGGAGGAAATCTTTCATCTCACATAAAGGAGGAAGTAGTCTGATGGAAGGATAAAGTGCATGGAATCCTCATTGAATTATAACATGTTATGATGTTCCAACAGCTGGAAGGAGATATTTATAGTAAAAGATACTTTATTGTTTAAAAATTTCACCAACTGTTTCTCTATCAAGAAGATAGGAGAAGCACATTTTTCAACCACAGGACATATTTCACTGACAGGTTTAAGAGTTTTGGCAAAAGCAAAAATTTACAGGATCTTGGGTGCAGGGAAAACAGAACAGTGCATGTGAAGAAAATATGCCAAAGAAGTGTTAGCAAATCTCTTCAACATGCATTGCAGAGAATCAAGAAAATTGTCTGGTGCCAATGAACATTCTATATTGCTAATATACTCATCTAACTTATTGATATAAAGCATTTTGCCAAAACAATGTCCTTGGATTTATCTTCCCTCGTAACAACAACTTTGTTCCACTTCAACCAATCCTTATAGCTGTGTATTGTACGACAAAAATGTTGCACCTGAGGTTTGACTTTCTTACCCAGCAAATGTAATGCAGTTTTCCATCAGAAAAAGTCCTTGTGTTTCATCTACCCCTTTGGTAAGAGCCTCAATGTCTAGTGTAAAAGCCTCCAAAAACATTATAGGAGGTGATGTAAAGAGGTTGTATAAGTTATATGTTATAAAAGTCTTGTACTTGTCCAGGAAACAAAATATCAAGGAATTTACACATATGGTATGAGACTGTCTGCAAGGCCAGGAAAGATTTTGTGGTAAGTAAGCTAAATAATAATGATTTCAAGAATTTTTCAGAGATATCCAGATCATTTCTCACATTGTTTATTCCAAGAGATTTTTTGGCATCTGGCAACACTTCATCCAAACTTGCCAGATGCCAAAGAATCTCTTGGAATAAACAATATGAGAAATGTTCTTAGAAAAAAGAGATCAATGGGGATAATCTAGGAAGGGTTTTAAGAAGAGAAAAACCATTGCATTAGGGAAGAAGATTATTATATTGCAATTGAAATTGAATGTGTTCTCATAAAGGGTCCAGTGTACTGAAGTTTAAGATAAAGTTGTCTGAACACAACTTTGAAAAAGCTATTTTCACACAATGATATTTTAAATATTGTATTTTGCCTGAAGAAGATACCAATGCAGTGCTGAGAAAGTAGTTGCTAATTTTGTCACCAATAAAAGAATCTTAATGTCAAAAGACAGTATATTTTTTTTTTTATTGAAGATGACTTTATAGACATACAAACTAAAACTATGTATAACATGTCAAATAATGTCTCCCAACCTTGCAATGTTTTATGAAAAACCTTGAATATCTTTTAATTGGAAGATCTAAAGTATTGTTTTGGAAAACAATACTTTAGATCTTTACATGCAAAACTGAAAGATTAAAAATAGTAATAAATTACACTGACATAATTTTCTAATGCTTCATGATTTAAATTAAACTAAACTTTTTATTAACAAATACAAAATTATGCCTCAAGAAGAATTATATCCTGATATTTTCTTTTGTTTCAGGAATTCAAACAAAGCACTATAGAATAATATTTTATGTGACCTTCTTTGGCTTTAAGGACTGCACCAACTCTTCTTGGCATGGATTCCACTAATTTTGTAATTATATTGTCATCAGTTTTGAAATATTATTCCTTAACCAAATTGTACAAGATTTTAAAATTATTGTTTCGCAATTTTTTTCATAATATTGACCAGAAGTGTTCAATTAGGGTTAAGTCTAGAGATTGTAAAGGCCAGTTTAGTGTATTTGACTTTTTTTGAAACCAGGATGTAAGAAATCTTAGCTGTGTAATTAGCATCTCTGTCTTGTTGAAACATATACTTCTTTCCAAGATGCAGTTTAAGCACTGATGGAGAAATATGCTTCTCCAGAATCTTATGGTAGAGTTCTCTGTTCATGATCCCATTGACAAATCCAAGACATATAGCCTCAAATAATTTTGTTACCCCTTTCATATTTAACAGTTTTGACATTGTTTCTTTTTCCAATGTTGCTACTATGTGTCTCCAAACTTGTCAATTCCATCTGATCCAAAAAGATCTATTTTGGTCTCATCTGACCATAAATTTTATTTCCAGTGATTCACAGTAATGTTTTGGTATTCCTTTGCCCTTGCTAGGGTTTCTGCTTGTGCACTTTTAGAAAGCAGTGGCTTTTTTCTAGCATGACAACTTGTTAGACAACAACTATGCAATTGATTTTTGATTGTTTAATCACATATACATACTGTACCTGTTGATCTGTTCATAAAATATTTAGTTTTGAGCCAATGAAAATGGATTTATCTTGCTTCTTGCAGCATTTTTCTGTCCCTATGAACTGACATTTCTGTCACTATTTGAACTTTTCACAAAACTTCCAATAGTGTCCTAATAAGTACTAGTTAACTGGTGGATTTTTTAACCTAATGAAATTTTGTTACTTCAGATAATTTTTTTTTGTTGTTTAAGATAGCCCCATTCCATCCATCTGCATAAAGTAATTTTTGGCTAATTCATAATGTTAAAGCCAGTATTAGATTCTACTTCTACTTATGTTAGTGCATTTTCTAAAATGTTATTAAATTTCTTTTCTTGTGCAGTATTTATAATTTTTTTGTAGGGCACGTTTGTTTCATTGACATAAGAATCTAAACTTGCAAATTTAAAAATTAATCCTTTCTAAATTTATAGGGGTTAGAAAAATTATTTTAATAAAGTGATTACAGTAGAGCGTCATTTATCCGAAAGAATTCCAGTCGGCAAATTTAAATTTTCGCTAGTGCTGTGGCACTGCAATCTTTGGCTATATCTTGAACTACTGCAATATTTTTTATGTTTGTGTATGTGTTTTAGCTGGCAGCACTATCACTTTTGTGTGGTGTTTTTCTGAGGACTGTGTGTTGTGCTGAATCAAACGTTTTTGATACTAGATAACTTCTAAAGTATAATTTTTTTTTTGTTTTTATATTTTTCAATATATTTATTTTGTTTGTAAAAAATAAAGAAATAATTTTTAACGATACAATAGCCACGATTATTATTTTAAAAAGTTTATGTTAGGCTTAACATCGACGAAAATTCAGCGCGAAGCGACACGCAACGGAGAAAAATTTCAACACGGGATAGGTTAATGTATTTTTACGTACATAATCGGTTATCCGAACAACCCCAGTTCCCAATTGATTCGGATAAACGACGCTCTACTGTATTTATAGTTTTCTGCTTTATATTTTTGCTTTTATTATCTAAATTAGTTGATTTATGCAAAAGTTATTTAGCAATTTTCATTCAGCATTGCAAGAGTGGAAAACATTTTTTGACATACTATAGTGTAACTCTTGCAGCAATTTGAGCCACCTGAAAACCATTTTTGGCACAAACTGACAACTACAAAGTATAAATATTTGCAGAAGTTGCTGATGTACAGTACATTCTCCCAATATATCAAAGCTTTTTTAATAAACTTCNGGATTAAACAGTATATTGTTTGTGCAAAATAAAAAAATAATTTTGGACGATACAATAGCCACGATTATTTTTTTCAAAAACGGGAACTTTTCATTACACATTGACAAAAATTCAATCTGGGCTGACATGCAACGTAGAGAAATTTTAAAATTATATACGTTAATTTCATCAAAGATGCATCATGGACGATCTCGTGGTCGTAGCTGAAGTTTGAACGATCATGCCCAAAAGTAGCGATATCAAAGAAGATAGGAGAATGAGAACGAGACCTGCCTTGAGCATCAAAGTGATTCCGTCTCCGAGACATAGTCATGTCCCAAATACGGTTTTGCCATTTTACTTGTTTTAGTATAATATTTATTTTATTGTTTTGAAAACTATTCCAGATAATCAAGTTTCCACTGTAATTAAATTGTTTTAAAACATTTTTAAAAACAAAAAGTGTTTTATATAAAGTAGTAAAACATTTATAATAAGTATAAAAATTACACAAAATAAAAAATACAGAAAGATTTCATCTTTATAAAGATCTCTCCACATTAAATTAACTAGATAGCTTAATTATAAACCCAGGGATGCACAACCTTTTCTGAAGAAGGGCCAAATTAGGATTAAGTTTACTGACTGGGGGCCAGACCTCCAAGTGATTAATGCGATGGCTGAGATTGGATGCTGGCAGCAATCTTCTTGATGTCTAGCGTAATGGCAGATGTTGAAACAACCAGCAGATTTTCCAAATTCTTGTTGGTTAACCTGTTCCGTGTTTTGCACTTGTTTAAATTCATAAGTGAAAACGCTTGTTTGCATACATACCATTGTGTGTGTGTGTGTGCATAATGAATATAAAATTGCTTTTACCATCTTTATCATCTCACTATCTATGTTTGAGTTTGATAATGACAACATTGTTTTGTAATGCAAAATCACACACTAGTAATTCATAGCTACTGGAAGATTCTATTTAATATTTACAGGAAAGATCTGTTCACAAGTATTCATTGGTTTTTGTGCAGATTGTGCTATATTAAGTTTAATTATACAATATGTTATGTTAAATATAAGATTTTACACTAAAACTGTTTTAATGTAAAATTCTTATCAATGTTGTAATCTTGTAGTATGTATTTGTAATGATATAATGATATGATATAATGTTATGATATTGATATAATACCATACTGAGCAAGCTGTTTTTCCTGTAATACAGACAATTTTAAGTTAGTTAAAGACACTAATAAATAAATAAATAAAAAGATTTGTAAAATAATTATTCAAAAATAAAGAATGAATATATAAAGTAATTTTAAATTTACATTTCTATCAATTAATTTTAAAATAAAAAGATAAAAATTAAAAAATCAACCTGAAATTCATCTCGTTTAGGAACTTTAGGTGGAGGTACGTGCTGCTGTATTTCTAAATGATGATCCTGAAGTAATAATCTTTTCCTTACTGAACGAGATCCTTCTTTAATATTTTGCTCTTTATTTATAATGGGTGTAAAAAGCCTCTCAGACAAACAATTCTTGGGCTTCAACTTTTTTGGCTGAGTTAACAAAAAAAAAAAAAATTATAACAATATTGTAAATGAGAAATGTTGTAATAAACTACAATAAAAACTTGATGGGATCAGATATCTTTCAGGTAATCCAGATACTCATTTGTTTGTGGGTTTTGGATACACCAAGTACTGTGCCTTTAAAGTTTCATGAACAATAAATACTGTAATGCAATTACTGTATTTAAAGGTAAACTAATTTACTCAAAATCTAAAATAATGTTATGTATATATGACCAAGCTTTGCATCACTACAATTGACAAGTGATAATGATTTCCACTTAAATAGAGAGTTTGGTATCTATGTATTATTCTCAATTATTATTGACAAGACTATGTCTTGTTTATAAAATCGTACTGCCCAATGTTCTTACCAGCATAGAGGTATGAAGGAGTACATGTCGAGAGTTGATATTTGGCACAGAGTATTAGGTGCTCAAATCATTTGCGCATAAAAAAATCCAGACTCATAGGAAGTCAGGAGACTGAGAATCGAGTCAAAATAAAATACAAAATGGCGACCCTCTTCTACAAACAGGCAAAACAGCCACCTCACCCCACCAAAGTCAGGTAGGGGAAAGTATTACCCACAGTCATTCTGAGAAGTGAACTCTGACCTTAGAACTGAGCACGTAGTTTCTTCTATGTTAAATAAAATTTGTAATCTAATTTTGTAAATTTGGGAGTGCTTCAAATATGACGTTAAAACGGTTTTATGTC